ATGTTCAGGAGCTAGCAAATAATTGGAACCGGGGCTAGAGAGATGGCTTTAGCAGTTAAGAGCACTGACTGTTCTTGCAGAAGACCAGGGTTTGAAACCCAGCATCCACATAGCAGCTAACAGCCATCAGTAACTGCAGTTCCAGTGGATCCAGCTCCCTCTTCCGTCCTCTGCAGGCATTGCACAACACAGGTGCACTTACATACATGCAGACATAACACTCATTCACATAAAATAAAAATAAAAATGAATTAGAACACAGCATCTGTTGAGAGAAAGGGAAAGAAGGACAAACAAAATTGAGAAAATTCTACCCATTGCATTGATTTTTAGGGATGATACAAATGGAATTTGAGGCCTCCCATCACTGTATGTTTGAAGAATTTGAGGCCTCTCATCACTGTATGTTTGAAGAATAGTATCTTGATGATACATGGGAGTATGGGGTCCTCTCTTAGGGTTCTTAGTCTCATTGACAAAAGAATTTAAGAATGGACTCAAATGGAAGCTGAAGGCCATTTTATTAGAGTTGAAAGAAAAACCTAGGGGCTGGAGAGATGGCTCAGTAGTTAAGAACGCTAGCTGTTTTTTCAGAGGACATGAGTTTGATTCCCAGCACCCACATGGCGGCTAACCACAGTGCTTAACTCCAGTTCCAGGGGATCCCCCCCCAATGCCATCTTCTGACATCTGCAGGCATTGTACGATATGGTTACACCTACCTACATGTAGATAATACACTCATACACATAAAAAATGAAAATAATAAAATAAAATACTCAAAATAAAACCTCAGGGCAGGTAAGCTGTAAATCTCAGCAGCTGCCCTGAGGAGGAGAATGGAAGAGAAGGAAAAAAGGCCATAAAATCATGCCCATTTAAAGCTAGCCTGGAGGCCAGACACATGGGGAATTAGCAGGCACGTGGCAGGGAGGGGATACTTAAAGAAAGAGTAAGAAACTCAAAATGTTGGGGCAACTGAAAGTGTTAGAGAAAGCATGATCAGAAAAGAGATGGACAAGAAGGAGAGGTTATGCTTTTCTGAAGAGTTTTTTAAAAAAGACAAAGCTACATGTGTGGCCTGATAGGCTACTACAAAGGGGATAGGGATTCTGGACAGGACAAGTTCACCATCTCATTAACACCCTAAGTATTCTGCTCATCTCTTTAGCATGCCTTAAGGTGAACCTGCCTACCTAGGACTGGTCCTATGGCCAGGCTATGTCTCCATCCAGGCCTTTTAAGGGGCCTTTCTTGCTAATGCAGCATTGGCATATAGCTCAGTGGTGAACTGAATGCTTAGCATGCACAAGGAACTGGATTCCATCCCAGCACCAAAATAACACCCCCACCCTAAACGATACTCACTGGAAACTTTCTCTTGTTTGTATTAATTGAATTTGTTTTTTTTTGACAATTTTGGATATGTATGTAGAGCCTTCAGTTTGCTCTCATCCCTCACCCTCTCTAATCTCCCTCCCACACAGTCATTTCTCCCTCCTTCCTACAAGTCCCTTTTCCCACATTTGTGTCTCTTTGCTTTGTTTTGTGACCCACTGATTTTTCCTGGGGCCATCCATGTGACCATGGGTTTGGGATCATCCATTCGTGCCTGGAGGACTCCCCATTGGATACAGAACTAAAGACAATGACTACCTCTTTCCCCAAATCTGTCAGACATTCAAGGAACCCAAAAGAAACATATCCTCTTTGTTCTTTTTCAAAGTCTTAAAAAATAAAGTATTAAAAATTTAAAAGTATTTTAAAGTATCTTTTAAGTATTCAAAAGTAACTTTAATTTCAATGGTATAGGAAAAGCTCAGGAATAGAACAACAACAAAACTACTGTAATTCTCTGAACTCAAAAATTCCCACTAAAATATCAAATGTTCCCTCAGGCTCTTATAGGGAAAGGATCGCCTTGTGCACTCAGCCTGTACTGGCCTCAGCTCCCTCAGTGTCATCTCTACCCTTCAAAGTCTTTGAAAGGAGACCTCCATAAACTCCAAACAATAAAGCAATTCTTGCTTTGCAAACATGCCCAGCCAGGACCCCCAGAAACCCAAGCATAAAGCTCTGCAAATAGGTCTTGCTTTGCAGCAGGTCTTTCCAGAGACCCTTATGAGGAAAAATGCAGACCCTAAATCTTTTACCTAACTCCCATGACTCTATTTACATACACAAAGGTACTTAAGCTCCCCTTGCTGTTTGGCCAGTGTGACTACTACAGATTCTCACCGGTCAGTAGTCAACCCTCATTGACTAATAAAGGTCACTTTGGATTGTATGCAATTGGTTGCTCTTCTTTTCCATCTGTGACTCTTTCGACACCTAATCCTAACATATAACCTGGGAGAGGGTGCTAACCCAGGGGAGAGCTAAAACTCCTAATTCCTAACATTTTGGTGCTGAAATACAGGAGAGTTAAAACTCCTAACATTTTGGTGCTGGATCCCAGAAGAGTTCTCAGCTTTCCACTCCTAATTCCTAACAACTTTTACCTGTTTGAAGGGTCATTTTGCATAAACCTTCAAGTTGGTGGCACACAAGGCTTTCTTTCTTGTGATGTGACTCAGATGGCTCCGGGTTTGTCAGGAAGGTGACAGAAGTGATGCTGCACTCTTCCTGTGCACAGAGGTGGGAAACACACTATAGTTTGTCCCACCCATGGTCATTTTACTTCTGATCAAGGTGGCGACTGCCACGTCGCCAGGAATAAATTCCTCTTTACCCATCTGCAATAAATATTTTATGTGGCAGCGCTTTTAAGGCTGTATGAATGCCTCGTTTCTCATTCTCCTGCCACACCCCCCTCCTTAGTTTTACCATCTATTGATATTTCTTGGTAGAATCACATATTTCTTTGATGACCTAAAAATCATGTTTTTCTAATTATCAGTATTCCTACTGTATTAATTAGTTGGCACCCACATGTTAGAGAGAGCTTTCTTATCTCTCTGAACATTATTTTAGGAGGGAAGGAGTGTGTTGCTCTCCAATTGAGAAAGTGCATGGATCTTAAATGTTTACTTCGATGAGTTTTGAGAATTGCACATACCCAAATACAGCTTCTTACAATAAAATGGAGAGGTACTTCTGCCCATCTAGAAAATTATCTCATGCAAGGGAATTGGTCTATGAGCAAACATCATTAAACCCTCTCCCATCACTGCACCTATTAATGCCACTCACTTACAGCTTCTACCAAAAAGGTTTGCCTCTCAATTTCAACCACATCTTCTCTGTTTTTATTCCTGGTGTCCACATCCTATTCCGTCTCCCTCATTCTCCATTTTCACTATGTAGAACAACTTGGCCTCTCTTGACTTCATCTGTTTTCTCTCTTCACCCATTGTAGGAATTCTCCATAATAAAACAGAACATGGAAGTTATCCATCCAGCAGGAATCCTTCTTAGAAGAACAGAAGAAGAAAGGCCACCACTATTTCATGTTTCTTTTCTTTTCATGGAACACAGTGTTCCTTAGAGGCAGCCTTTAAGAATCACTGCCTGACAGGAGCATGTTTCAAGCAACCTAGCCAAAGGAAATTTAGATCTGTGGATACAGACCAAGGCCACCCAGACAAGAACTAGCAGAAGCTATTTTTCAGAGCTTGCTGAAACAAAAAACAAAACAAACAAACAAAAAAAACAAAAACCAGCCAGCAATTTCTGTATTTAGCAAAGACTCAAAGTGAGTCAGAGAGTGGGAGAGCTTTGTGATGTAAAAGAAGGAAGAAGTTTTAATTAGATGTTAGTATAGGGTATGTGGAGGCATTCTGTGTGATTGGTTAGAGTAACATGAGCTTTCTGTAGTTGAACCAGTGGCTAAAGGAGATGTGGCTTGGCTTCCTAGACTAGCTGCTACAGAGATTGTGGGTCACAGTTCTACTGTCATGTGTGACCCAGGCATTGTCCTTTTGTGTAATCGGTCTCTTAGAGTGAACAAGGTATTGGAGAGCTATGGATGGATAGATCGTCCTTCGGCACCCTCCTAAGCATCAACATCTGCCTTGGCCCATTTTTATTCTCCTACTTAACTTCTTTTCTGTTTTTGAGTCCTAACTTAGGATTTCATATCAACTTTCCAACCCCTAAAACAGAAATCTGCCTAGACAGATATATAATATGAATGAATATCAATTTGATGTGAGAGAAGACTGAGTGTTCAAGGAGAGCCTCATGGTCATAATTGGAGTTATCAGGAAGATCTCATTGTGAATGACAGGTAAAAGAGAATTGGGAAGAAACAGTCATGTTTGTGATCAAAGATGCTGGATTCAGGTTGGGGCCCTCAAAGTGGCAGGGGACTCCTTAAAGATCTTCTTTAGACTCTACATGTGGAAAGTTGAACCCCATTTTACTTATTTACTTATTAGTTTATTTAATTTTTTATTTATGTGTGTGTATGTGTGTTTATATGTACCACATGTGTACAGGTGTCCTCAGAGGCCAAAAGACAGATTCCCTGGAACTAGAATTACAGGAGGTTGTGAGTCACCTGCTGTGGTTGCAGGGAACTGAATCTGGGTCCTCTGAAAGAACAGTTAAGTACTCTTATGAGTTGAACCATCTCTCCAATCCCAGGAACACCTATTTAAAGATGTGGCAAGAGAAAGAGGAAGATTTTCCGAGTTCATACATCAAGGACACAAATGGCACAGGAGCTTTAACATTTTGGTGATCCATCTAGGACATTAACAAGACGTGGAGAACGGGGGAGAAATGGAGAATGAGCAGTCCAAACAATTCGGTAATTATCAGGATTCTATAAGAGGCTATAATGACCTGTTTGTGCCACTATGAAAAGAATTGTGACTCTATCAGAAAAACCACGTACCAAAGATTTCACAATGGACTCAGGGAAGTGGAGTAAATGATTAAAGAAGGGAATTCTCAGAGTTCCTTTCAAAACACAGCACTTTAGCTTCTGTTTGCAGAGATAAAAGTACACCCCAAAAGTGGATTAATATTTAAGCCCTTCTATATTTGTGCCTCCCTTTTCAACAGAGGAAACCCACTTTGGAGGAGCTGGTGAGACCCATCCACAATGGTTTCTCCAGTGCTCATCTTGTTTTCAACTTTCCTCTTCCACGTGGCTATTGCTGGACGGAGTAAGTACTTCTGCCTTTGAGAAAATAAGTCATATCTCTAACCTTTGAGTATATGTCAGGACTCAGTAATGATGGCTTTCGGTTCAGAATGAATGCTGGAAAGACTGAATTGATATCTATATATTCTTCAGTAACGCCATGCTTAAAGCTCCTGTGTGAGATATCCTGCTAATTTAAGCCTCAGTATACTGACCTGTAATATGTAGATAATAGTAATACCTCCTTCAAATGGTTTCTGTGGTCTGTTAAGAAAGATACTGCATTGGAAGTATTTGGTGTGGAATTTGGAAGACTTACAATTTGTACAGGTAGATATCTTTCATTTGTGTGCTAGATGAATTTAAAGACATGAATCAATATTCTTCTAACCATCTGCTTTGTTATCCATTTCAGCCTGTCCCCGGCCAGATGATTTACCATTTTCTACGGTTGTTCCTTTAAAAGCAGCCTATGATCCAGGGGAGCAGATAGTGTACTCTTGCAAGCCTGGCTATGTGTCTCGGGGAGGGATGAGGCGTTTTACCTGTCCTCTCACAGGAATGTGGCCCATCAACACTCTGAAATGTATACGTAAGTCAGTGTCTTCACTTCCACTCTCTCCCCTCATTTGGGTTCTGGCTATGCATCTACCTTATCAAGCTCAGGGTGCACAGGGCCAGCATGGGTTGTAGAGTAAGGGAGAAGCAAAAAGTGCTATCTAAGAAAGAGGACAACTAAGGAAGGTGGAAAAAGAGACCTGGGTTGATCAATAGAGAGGGAAACAGAAGTTAAAAGACAAGTGGAAATATGTTGACATATGAACTGTTGCCAAAGACTCTTGAATAAACAAAACTTGGGGAGTTATCACATCTTTGCACTTTGTCTCAAAATGGAAGCAGCCTTACTTAATACTTAGTGAACTAAATATAAATTTCATTTAAAGTATGTATATATTATATATTTGCAACAAATGTTACACATTAAAATATAAATTTCTTATCACTTTTTTTTTGGTCTTTTTGAGACAGGGTCTTCCTGTAGCCCCAGCTGTCCTGGAACTCACTATGTAGATCAGGCTGGCCTTGAACTCACAGAGATCCTCCTGTCTCTGCCTCCCGAGTGTCTTATCATGTTATTTTAAGTAATTGCCTTCATTTATTGGTCTGAACATCGTATTATGATCATGCTGGCCTTTTTCTTAAGACAGAGTCTCAGGTATTCCAGGCTAGCCTTGAACTTATATGTAGCCAAGATGACCTTGAACTTCTGATCCTCCTGCCTCCACCTCCTAAGTGCAGGGATTGCAGTCATGAAACACCTGATTTTAGCCTTATTTTTTACAATCACTTATCAGATTGAATTTCTCTAATTATTTTGATTATATCGACATGATCTTTATCATAATTATATTTGTTCTTGCAAGTGATTTGAGTTTTTTTTATTTTTAAAAAATCTAAGCATTTTTTTTTTCTGGGGGAAGAAGGTAGTAGATTGGAGGTTGCATCTAGGGCCTTGCATAGGCTAAGCATGTGCTCTACCTCTGAGCTACACACCCACTCCCTAAACATAATTTTTGACAAAAAAAGCTGTCACTATGTTATCATGAGGGAAAAGTTTACTTTAAATCAACAATAACTCTGGATCATTAACAATGTTCCCTTCCTTCCTTCCCTTCCTTTCTTCCTTCCGTCCTTCCTTCCTTTCTTTTCTGCTCAATATATAGCTCTAGTTGGCCTGGAACTTACTATGTAGACCAGGCTGGCCTTGAACTCATAAAGATCCACCTGCCTCTGCCTCCCGCGTACTGGGACTAAAGGCATGTACCACCAAACCTGGCTCTCATTTTTCAACTTATTTCTCTCTCTTTTTTTTTCCATCATTGCACAGAGTATATACACTTTTGTGTTTTTCTATTTTCATCAGCATAGCATAAAGTTAACTAAGTCTCTATAGTCTTTATAACTCATTTTATTGACTCTATCATAGTCTAGGTGTTGGTTTATTTTGGCTAATTAAAACACTCCCATGACAAAGACCATTTAGACTGCCCATGTTCTATTGCAATGACAGTCTTGTATGTATTCTTTGTCTTATTTTGCATTGCATTCTTAGAATATTTATTATTAGAGTTACTGAATCAAAGAATGGAAATGTTTACATATTTTTACTTTAGTGGAAAATTCTACAAATAGAAATTTACCTTTTTTTTTTCTTTTTAAATCGTAGCCAGAGTGTGTCCTTTTGCTGGAATCTTAGAAAATGGAGCTGTACGCTATACAACTTTTGAATATCCCAACACGATCAGCTTCACTTGTAACCCTGGGTAAGGACTTTCCTGAGACGTAGCAGCTGGCTGACAGAGCACATTTCAGTGCCCTTTAGCTAAACATCAGAATTGGTCTGTATTTTATTTGTAACCTCTGAGTTGCACTTGCTGAATGAAAATCCATTTTAGTCATACTTTTGGCAAATACTATGATGCTGTTGAGGGAGGTGTAAGCAGTGAAAAATATAACGTTAACACAATGTGAAATCACCACTCTAATGGCTCTGCAACTCACTGATTGCTTATCTAGGGACATATATTGAAAGGATTGAACTTGGATAATAGTTCCTTATAACCTCTGGGCCAGATCTTGCTATATGATTAAACATATTAGAAATATGAGTTAGATTTTAGTTATGAGCTTGGGTGAACAACCTGGTACTCTTTAGAAGGGAATTCTGTAGAGAAGATTGGGATGTGGTGATGCAGAACACAGTTCTCTTGATGCTCAGGGCACAAACTCAGGTGTGCCTGTTCATATAATTCATCTGTCTTATGAAAAACGAACCAGCGTCACCCGGTCAAGAACACATCGGTTGCTCATTGGGACAGTTTTACTGAAGATCCTTATTTGGGAATGAAGATTAAGAAACACCATGTATGAAGGGAAAACAGTTCTTTTGTCAGAAATGGCAATTGACCAGTGTATCTGATGACAAATGACCCTGAAAAATGGCTTCAGTGACAGCGTTATATTTTCACTGACAACAAAGATGCATTATTTTTACACATTTGCACCAGTGGGCAATAAAATAAATAACAGTACAGGTGTCTCTGTTTGCTTCATTTTTGCATTCTGAAAAATAGATGCTTCCCAGCTTTATGCAGGAAGCAGATTACTCGCTCAACTGGTTGGAAATGAGAGATTTTGGGATATGACTTCTATAGTCTCCAGCTATGAAAGCCTCCAGTGATTTCACCTAAGGCTTTGGTTAGGACACTTCAGGAGTCCTAAGAGGAGTTAAGATCCTTAGGAAAAGAGCATCAAAGATAAGAAAGAGGTCAATATATTGGGGGGGGTGTATAATAGCACATTACTATAGTGGCAGCTACTGAGGAGGCAAAGAAGTGGGGAGCCCTTGAGTTTTCTTATTTGACAACATAGTGAGGCTATCAAAAAATGAATAGGGTTTGGAGGTGGGGGCACCTCAGTGGTAGAGCTCATATTTTGCAAGCCCCTGAATTTGATCCCCAGTACATTTGGGATGCCAGTGAAAGATCACTTTACTACTTAATAGACTGAATTTTCCTTTTTTCAGGTTTTATCTAAATGGAACCAATTCTGCTAAATGCACTGAGGAAGGAAATTGGAGTCCAGAGCTTCCTTCCTGTGCTCGTGAGTCTATGGATCCCACTTGTGGGTGGAAGGACCAATTAGTTTACCCAGACATTATCTGGTTTTAGTACTGCCAGCTCCACATCCCAGAAACTCCTTGGTCCCAGAGACTCCCCAGTCATGATTCAATGAAATAAATGGTTGTTTTCTTATGGTGAATGCTTAGCTTGATATCATTCTGTTCTGGAGGAGGAAACAATCCACTCTGGAATGGCAGGATAGACGCATTTTAGTCACAAACTCATTTGTATCCTCCACCTGATAGACTGGTAACTGCTGGATTTGTTAACTACAAAGCTCCTTCAGTGTTGTGGGAAGGGTTTGGCTAGGTCTGGCATTGGTCTATTGGGGCCTGCCTTAATTTGATTAGGAGGATTCTTTTCTTTTTGTGGTGCTGAGGATCCAATCCAGGGTCTTGTGCATGCCAGGCAAGCACTCTAACGCCCAGCTACACCTCCAGTCCTGGCTAGAACTTCTATGAGCAGCAGTTTCAACCTTATCTTCCTCCTGTTCTGAAACTTTATTCATTAATGCATTCATTCAATCCCATTTTTAATAAACAGGAATCCAAAATCTAGATGCCAGAGCCTGCTCTCAGCCCTCAGATTATAAGGCTAATGACTTCATTAGTGGAGATAGGGAAAGTAACCTTAATAGTAAGACACAAGCCCTTCCAAGCAGCTTGCATTTTAGGAGCAAGTCTCTGATGACTTATTCAAGTTATGCTCAACCAAGCAGTCAGGTGCAACTCTGGGCCTGTTTCTACAGAGATGGTATTGTCATGTTTCTTAGCCTGAGACTGATTTAAGTCTAATCTTTGATTAAGAACCCCAGACATCACAATAGTAAATATGGTTATCTATTCAGTGAGATCTATCCTGCAAAAATAAATTAGAAAAGTAAAGTAAACTTATATAAATACTAATCAAATTAAGACCAAACTACAGGGGAAAAAAAGCTTTAAGATAAAATTTTCATTCAGTACTAAGGGTCACCACGGTTCATATAAGTAGTCTCCCTTTTAAATATGTAAATTAATGTTTTGTCATGAGTAGAAAGGCTACTTTAGTTTCAATCTAATCTGAATGAGTGATTCTCATCTTTTAATGTGCATGAGTCACCTGGGCATCTTGTTAACTTGAAGATTCTGATGGGTGTCTGGTAACGTGAAAGTTCTGATTCAGACATCTGAGGCGGCCTCTCAGCTTCTGCATTTGTATCTAGCTCCTAGATTGTGTGCTAGTGCACTGAGCAAGCTTTGGGAAGCAATGAGCAAGATGAGTCAGTTGAAGTGACATTTGGGTCAGCAGTATCTTTATGTTAGTGAAACTTTTCCTGGATTTGTTGAAACTGTGTTTGCTAGGGCAGGTGATGAGCCACTATTGTGTCTCTGGGTCCTTGCATCTGTATGTATTAACCCCCATGTGTTCGGAGTACAGAAACTGGAGGTCTTTACTAGGAATGAATAAATTAGCAGTAGAACTCAGATGTCACAAATAATATGGCTACAAGTGCTATGTGTGATGAGCCATGACTTCAGGATAGCCTCTCAACAATGTCCTCTACATATTCTGATTTCCAGAAACATCATTCAAGATAGCCTTCAGATCAAGTATGTATAGAACCTGTGCCCTGTGTTGTTGCAAAGGCAAAAGGCAAATGAATTGTGACAAGATAAATTTATTGCCTCCTCCTCCTCCCCCTTCTCCCCCTTCCTCCCCCTCCTTTTCCTCCTCCTCTTCCTCTTCCTCCCTCTTCCCCTTCCTCCTCCCCCTCCCCTTCCCCTCTCCCCCTCCCCTTCCC